AGTTTTAAGGGTTGTTTGGGATGTCTTAAATAAGTGTATTTTTGTCTTTTTAGATTAAAAATTTGAGGAAAAAAATATGGATGTTTGGATTAATTTTTTAACTTTTTTATAAAAAAATGTGTATTAAAAAATTATATAAAGAAGTGTGTAGGAGAAGATTAGAGATGTGTGGGCACAATCGTAAAATCTGCACAGTTGAAATGATAGTAAGAAATTATTGACTACTTTTTGGGCATTGCACTGGACTGTTTTGTTCGGCCCGTGGGGGTCATCATGGATCCCATTTTGATAATTTGAACCGTTCAATGTGTAAAACTCGTCAAGTACTATATGCCTATAAAACATCACATTGATCGGATATCGATAGATATCTGATCAGATTTGTTTTTTTTCAATCATTAATTATAACACCATCCATGTTTTTATACAAAATTGATTTGATCATGTAATTATCGATATTCAATCAATCTGATTTTTTGCAGACATATAGTATTCGACGATTTCTACACATTGAACGATTCAGATTATCAAAACGAGACCCATGATGGGTCCCACAGACCGAAAAGTAGTGTATGAAAATTGCACCCAAACTGTGCAATAGTATTCAACAAACGCTGCACAGCGCCAGATTTTTCATGATTGTTGAGTTGTATGGATGTGTGGAAAATTAATTTTTTAATATTTTTTTTGGTGAATAGTGATAACTTTTTAATTTTTTGAGTAACTTTTTGACTTTTTATCTTTTTTGGGAGATGCCAAACTTGGTCTTAATTTATTTTGAATCTTAACATTTTTTTTTATTTTTTTATATATTTTTTTAAAATCTCAAAAAATCACCTTTTAACATATTTTTCAAAACAACTCAAAACACACATAATCTTTTGAGTAAATTATAAATATATCTTTTAAAATTTATTTAAAATACTAATTATTCCTTATAATTTTGAAAATTATATCATATTCCTTTAAGCTTCTAATTGTATAACAAATAATTATTTCTATTAGTAAATTATCAGGTCAATTAACAGTTTTAAATTATGTCCATTATATTTTAATTAAAAATTCATGTAATTTTATTGTTGTATAGAAAATTATTAGAAATTTTATTTTTCTATTAATTCTATTAAATAAAAAAATTATAATAAGAGAGTATTTATAATTTTTAGAACCACAAGTGCTATCTATATTTTAAGCAAGTTTTAGAGGGTGTATTTGTAATTTACCCTAATCTTCTCTGCCGTCTATTTCATATTCAACTAAAATCAATAATTAGAAGAGAAGTTATTATTCAATAGTCTCAAAATATCATGGATAATTTGCTTATCTAATGTTTTAAACCAAGTATGTAATGAAAAATTTTATGAGTGGAACATGTTGATATATCTTTGTTAGATATAAAAAATAGAATAACAATGTTATTAATTGATATATTAATTAGTGTACTAACAGATAATGTAGCATATTTTTAGAGGTTTTAAGTCTTCATAATTTTTATAATAGATGGAGTCATAATTTTAAAATAGTAATGGCATAGCATATATTTATATACTAATTAGTATACCAATTAATACGTGTAGTATTACCGTAAAAAAATAACACAAACAGCTCGTGATGCAATTTATCATTTACCAAAAATACTAAGTATACGATACACATAGTACTAAGAAAATATGTACTTTTTTTATTTTATAAAAAGTAGACAAATAATTCCACGAGAGAGGGAAAAAGATGTTCTCCCACGGTGCCAACCATGTACCCATTGAATTCTATAAATACAACCCACGGCAGGCATATCTTTTCAACCCATTCTCATTATTTTTTGTTTTGTTTTTTTTACACTCAACATTTCAGGGAGTGTGAAAATGACTTCCTCTTCATCTTCTTCAGAAGTGATTGTGAATTTTGTAATGGTGGTGGTGCTCGTAATGGGCACCTCCTCTGCTCAACTTTGCACTGATTTCTACGAGGAGACATGTCCCAATGTACACAAGATTGTGAGATCAGTGGTTGCCTCTGCGGTGTCAAAGGAAAAGCGCGTGGGTGCTTCTCTTCTTCGCCTCCACTTCCATGACTGCTTCGTCCAAGTAATTTCTTCTTCTTTTTCACTTTTTATATATATGCTGCCACTATTGTAGTCTGTTAACTGTTAATTAATACGTAAATGATATAGAAAGTTGGGAAAATAATTTTTTTATCACATGTGGATGGAGCTGTTACGATATGTTAAGGCACAAAAAGTATACTGTGGTTTTGTTTGGAAGGTACTTTTTTAGCTTGGCTTTTTGATTTTTTTTTACTATTTGGACTTGGTTAAAAAAGTTCCGTTTGGAATGAATTTTTAGTTTTTTTTTAGAATAATTTTATGAGAGAAAAAGTGAAATGATTATGGGTTAGATGTCAAAAAAATGAAATGATTGTAGTTTTATGAGAGAAAAAGTGAACTATGACTTCATTTATAGTTTAGTGGGCTAAATTAGTCTCAACTATCTTACCAAATGGGTGTTATATATATATAATTTGTGTTAGTCGTGGCCGAATACCGAATTGTTAATATATATATATATACCTTGTATTTGTCCAGTATTAAGTGCATCTTAAAAATATATTTAAAAACAAAATCTGTAAATCAGATTATAAATGTGACCTAGACCACATCAAATTTACATATACATGATACACATTATTTTTGGGCACTTTTAGTGTACTTTGTTTTGGGTGCATAACTTTTTCGATATATATAAGGTTGTACACTTCCCTAAAGGTTAGATTATTCCATTTGAGATTTGCAAAGCCCTGTTGGTTGGGAGTTTCAAAATATACTTACCAAATTTATACCTATGGTAACATGTACGAGTGTTTTTTCTTAAAGCACAAGGTTTACAATGATTGTGATGGATGTAAATATAAATTGATTTAGTGTATTTAGAAGCTCTTTGGTTCGGTATTACACATTGTGTGAATATGTATACGTATTTTCTTCTTGTTCAAAAGAGTATATTTTGACAAAGCTTTCTTGTCCTTTATGGGCTTGTCTTATATTTGGTAACAGGGTTGTGACGGATCAATACTCCTTAACGACACTTCGTCATTTACTGGAGAAAAGACTGCACGTTCTAATAATGGATCTGTTAGGGGATATAATGTAATTGATGATATTAAGTCCAAGGTGGAGGCTGCTTGCCCTGATGTAGTCTCATGTGCTGATATTGTAGCTATCGCAGCTCGTGACTCCACCGTCATTGTAAGTGTCACACATCTCTGTATCAAATGTCAAGTTTCCTAAATTATTAGGTATAGTTTTGTTGTCTTTGGTTTGTACTCTATTCTTTGTTGATATGTAATTTGTTGTAGCTTGGGGGGCCAACCTGGGGTGTCAAACTTGGACGTAGGGATTCTAGAACAGCCAATATTTCACTTGCCATTGGTCTCCCAAATCGCAATTCTAGCCTCCAAACACTCATATCTAAATTCAACAATGTTGGCCTTTCCACCAAGGATTTGGTTGCTCTATCAGGTGCTCTCTCTCTCTCTCTATTATCTGCTTTTAAAATTTAAGCTGCTAAATAGGGGTTTCAGATCCCCCGTCTCCAAATAAGTGTCTATCCCTTTGTACAATTATTGACAACCACCCGACTTGATTTTGTTTGAATTAAAAATTGGATCGTATGACTGTTAAGTCATGTGACAGAAGACCAAAGTCTTTTTTTGGACATATGTCATCATGGGCCTCTTAAGAACGGAGTCAATATCTCAATATTTGTTAGCGTCTTACTTTCTAAAATGGCATCGTTTTGGAACCAGGATCACATACAATAGGCCAAGCAAGGTGTACAGTCTTCAAACATCGCATTTATAGCGATGCCAATATTGATAGTTCCTTTGCAATGACAAGGCAAGTTAGATGTCCAAATACTACTAGCCCTGCAGACAACAATTTGGCTCCTCTAGACCTTCAAAGTCCCACAGTTTTTGACAACAATTACTACAAGAATCTGATCATGCAAAAAGGTCTCCTTCACTCAGATCAAGAGTTGTACAATGGTGGATCAACTGATTCCCTCGTTAAACAATACATCAGAGATCCCCAATCCTTCTACTCCGACTTTGGTGTAGCAATGGTTAAGATGGGTGACATTAGTCCTCTCACTGGATCAAATGGAGAGATAAGAAAGAACTGTAGGATGGTTAATAATTAAGAAATTTGAGTTAAGCTCCTTAACACTCAAATAAAGATTTTGGAATTTCTCAAAACGAGAGAAGTTCCTTTGTTGGTTTGCTTATCATTACTACCGTCTGGATTGGTGAAAGATGAATTCACTAAGTGCCTATGGTTAACTTGGTCTAGTTTATGTTTCTGTTCATGTTTCCTATCTTTGGATTGGAATATGGATCTTGAACAGTTTCGTCTTCTTGGTTGGTTTTGTTTTTTAGCTACTTTATGTCATGAGGTATGTCCCTTGTAATCTTGTAAATCTTTTGATTTTATTTATGACTTATTCACAAAAAAAAAAAAAAACAAAATAAAAATAAGTGTAAAAGATATCTAAAATGTAAAATTTATTATAAATTAGTGTTATATATATAAAATATATGAAAAAATATTATGCAAATTAGTTTAATATTTTTTTTCAATCAATTAACAAATTGAAACCGTCCATACCACTCAAATCACAGTTTTATTATTTTTTAATCCAACATTCATGGTTTAATATTTCTAATTTTATCATTAATTCGTACCGAATTTGCACCACGCACATTCTTAGAGGTACTTTTTTTAGCCTCGTTTGGCATGTCATATTTTTTAGGTCAATAAGACAAAACATCACATCAAACTTATAATTATTTCATTTTTTCTCTCACAAAAGTCAAAAAAACCTATTCGTCTTACTTTCTAAAATGGCATCGTTTTGGAACCAGGATCACATACAATAGGCCAAGCAAGGTGTACAGTCTTCAAAGCTCGTATTTATGGCGATGCCAATATTGATAGTTCCTTTGCAATGACAAGGCAAGTTAGATGTCCAAATACTACTAGCCCTAGTCCTGCAGACAACAATTTGGCTCCTCTTGACCTTCAAAGTCCCACATTTTTTGACAACAATTACTACAAGAACCTGATCATGCAAAAAGGTCTCCTTCACTCAGATCAAGAGTTGTACAATGGTGGATCAACTGATTCCCTCGTTAAACAATACATCAGAGATCCCCAATCCTTCTACTCCGACTTTGGTGTAGCAATGGTTAAGATGGGTGACATTAGTCCTCTCATTGGATCAAATGGAGAGATAAGAAAGAACTGTAGGATGGTTAATAATTAAGAAATTTGAGTTAAGCTCCTTAGCACTCAAATAAAGATTTTGGAATTTCTCAAAACGAGAGAAGTTCCTTTGTTGGTTTGCTTATCATTACTACTGTCTGGATTGGTGAAAGATGAATTCACTAAGTGCCTATGGTTAACTTGGTCTAGTTTATGTTTCTGTTCATGTTTCCTATCTTTGGATTGTAATATGGACCTTGAATAGTTTCGTCTTCTTGGTTGGTTTTGTTTTTTAGCTGCTTTAGGTCATGAGATATGTCCCTTGTAATTTTGTAAATCTTTTATTTTTATTTATGACTTATTCACAAAAAAAAAAATAATTCACTAAGTGTAATTTTTTATATATATGTAAATTTGTGTGTGTGTGTGCGCACACCTAAACTGTGCTTGAATTTTCATAAATAATAAATTTCAAAATCTTGAATTAGTTTTTCAATTCACCGAAGTGTTTAATAATTTTTTTTTATCGAAAGAGGGGTAAAAAAAATGATACCGTTTACTTTGTTGCCATGTCAAAATGAACTTGTAGTTGGAGAATATTTGTTTTTAATAAATGTTATTTGTCATTGGATTTATTTCACTATGTTATTTGAATTTTTGCATTTATTTATACAATTAAATTTATGTATGTGTGTAAAATTCATTATCTTTATAAAAAAAATAAAATAAAATAAAATAAACAAATTATGAGACTTAGACATGTCACATAGAAAAGTAACAAGAAGTGAAGATTAGTTATAAGAGACATTACAAATATTTATACAAGTGATCTTCAATTTGTTTTAACTAACTAACTAATTACTACACGACTAACCACATCCATTATAACTATTGTATCTATACTTATATCTATCTATCTTTGATTAGGTGGTTTATCCTTTCAGAGTTACTACAGGGCCCGGAATTGTGAAGCTCGAATTTGTCCCGAATCCAAAATAACGTCATTTTAGATTTTCTTTTTTCTTTTTTCTTTCTCTATTCTGAGAGGATGAAGAAGAAGAAGAAGAAGAAGAAGAAGAAGAAGCTAGAAAATATTCTATACATAGATAAAAAAAAAACAAAAAAAAAAACACCATCAGATCTTCTCTTCATCTTCTCCCCTCTCATCCCATTAATACAGCATCATCAACACATTAATATAGATCCTCTCATCCCATTAATACAGATCCAACAATCACAAATAAATTAATAAAAATTCTATACACAGGTCATAAAAAAAAAAAAACAACAACAACACTAGATCTTCACACTACACAGACAGATCCAACAATCACAAAAACAAAAACAAAAACAAAAAAAAAATTCTATACACAGATCATCAAAAAAAAAAAAAAAAAAAAAAAAGATCTTTTTCTTCATCTATGCACACACATCTATATATATATATATATGAGAGAAAGAGAGAGAGAGTTTCTTCATCTTTTTCATCTACACACACATCTATATATATATATATATATATATGATAGAGAGAGAGAGAGAAAGAGAGAGAGAGAGAGAGAGAGGGCCACCCACCGGCATAGAGAGAGAGAGAGCCATCAACCAGCAACCGGCGTTGCCATCACCACCATCACTGTCTCCTTCTTCTCTTCCTCTCCTTTCTCTCATCTTTTCTCCTCCTCTCTCTTTCTTGTTTGCTCTCTTTCTTCCCTGTTTCAAAAAGGAAAGGGAACGAAAATAAAAGGAGAAAAAGAAAAAAAAATGAAACCCAAAACGAATTTGAGCCAACGAGATTTCAAGCCCTCAAACATTTTTCTTATCCTTTATATTATGCACATGCTTAAACTGATGATGAATTTTTTTTTTTAATTTTTTTTTATCAGCGATAAAAAAAATTATTGATGAATAAGGAAAACCACATACATCAATAAGAAAGATGGATGCACTAGCATCATAGCAAAGAAATATGATCCCAACCAGGTTGGCACCATAAAACAAGCCCAACCATCTGCAGCATCACATCAAGTTGGTGAGCAACCAACCAAAACAAGAGCAAACCCCAAAATACACAACAAAAATAAATAAATAAATAACAAAGCTACCCACCCCTGAGCAGCAACAATACCCAAACACAGAAAATCCACTTTCTTGTAGTAGAACATTAGCCATAGCATCACAAACAGAGCTGCAGCCTCCATCAAGTACAGAATCGCCTAAACCTTAACAACAGAGCAACATCAACAGCATAACCTCTAAAACATCAACAGCAGTAACATCACCCATTCATCAACAACCTCCATGTACTACAAAATCAGCTGGAACAAAGTCTAGCCTGGTGCAGCTTGAAAATGATTTCAGTCATTGAGTAGGCCAAACCTGAACATGATGCTTTAATCCATAATGCAATTCTCACTATCACCAAATCACAAAGATCATCTAAGTTACACTGGGCATTATTGAAAATTCAATCATTCCTTAATTTCCATATAGACCAGAACATCGCAAAGGGGATGATTCTTCAAATCTTCTTCTCCAACTTTTTCAGCTTAACTTATGCCCACCAAAGTAGCAGGGCATCCACTGATCCTGGTATAGTCCATTGAAAACCCCACCAACTAAAAATCTTGGACCAAAGTAACCAAATAAAAGAACAATGCAAAAGCACATGGTTATCCGTTTCCATTTCCATATTACAGAACACACAATGTAAATTACTAAGGTTGTCCAATATACCAATCATTTGAAGATAATTAGATGTCTTGATCCTTCTTTTCCATGCAAGCCAACCAAAGAATTGACCTTTAAGGCGGGCATATTCTTCCAAATAAGGTCTGTCACCTTGTAGATAGGACCAAATGAGGATTCACACCACTGATAAGTGGACGAGACAGAAAACACTCCTGAAGAATCCGCATTCCATATCAATTTATCAGGCACATTAGCCCTTAACTCAGTGGCAGCAAGCAACAGCCCTTTCAATCTACCTACCTCATTCATTTGCCATTCAAACAAGCTCTTTCTAAAAGATAAATTCCAGTCTTCATGCTAAACTCTAGATCTCAACATAGCTACAGATTCAAATTTATGTTTGGCCAGAAGAAAAAGTCTAGTAAACTCATCCTTGAAACAAACATTACCTGCCCATTTGTCTGGCCAGAACCTTGTCCTCAAACCATCACCAAGGACAAGTTTAGAATTAGACTGAAAAAAAGCCTAGCACTTCAGGCTTGGATAATATAACACCCACAATATCTTTCCATATGTTAGACATCCTGCCCCCTCTCACAAGCACAGGTGACCAAATATCACTAGACCCATAATACTTTTTGCAAATCACCTCTTTCCAAAGGGGTTTGACCTCTGCCCTAAACCTTCACCACCACTTTAACAATAAACATGCATTCATCAAATCAACTCTTTTAACTCCCAACCCACCTTGCCTTTTACTTAGAGTAACATCACCCCATTTGACCAAATGAACTTTCCTTCTAAGGTCTGAACCACCCCAAAGAAAAGTTGATTGAATTTTATTGATCTCCTTGGCTACCCCTACTGGCATCTTAAACAAAGAAAGGTAATAGACAGGTAAGCTGGACAAAACAGCTTTTATTAGAGTTAGCCTACTTGCAAAAGGAAGGTACCTTCTTTTCCAAGAGGCCAATTTTATTTTAAACTTCTTAAGCACAAGCTGCCAAGTCTTTTTTCTACCAGGACTGGCTCCCAAGGGCATCCCCAAATATTTCAAAGGTAATTTTTGATGAAGACAGAGTAATTTGGAAGCAAACTCTTAACATACAACTTTAGGTATACCCAGCCCACACACCACACTCTTATGATAATTGATTTTTAGGACCCACATAATTTCAAAGCATCTTAATATTCTTTTGATATTTAAAACCTCACCCCATTCAGCTTCACAGAATAGAATGGTGTCATCAGCAAATTACAAGTGAGTGATCTTAAGATCACTAGACCTCACTGATGCACCCCCAATCAAACCCAGCTATTTCACTCTCTTCAACAATATATTAAGGCCTTTTGCCACAATGTTAAATAAGAAAGGTGACAACGAATCGCCTTGTCTGAGCCCTCTTTGTGGTTTGAACTCAGAAGTTGGGGAACCATTCACCAAAATAAAGATCCTTGCTGAGGTCACACATTCTTGTATCCACCGTACCCAATTAGAACCAAAACCAAAATTAAATAGCATTGAGAATAGAAATCCCTAATTTACTGAATCGTATGCTTTTTCAAAATCAAGCTTCAGCAGTATCCCTTTTTTTTGTCCTTCTTCCATTCATCAACAATCTCATTTGCAATCAAGATCCCATCCAAAATATTTCTGCCTCCTATGAAAGCAGACTTTGAATCATTGATTATCCTAGGCATGACTTTCTTCATTCTATTGGAAAACACCTTTACAAGGATCTTATACAAAAAGCCAACTAGGCTGATGGGTCTGTAATCTGTAAGACCAGAAGGGTTATCAATTTTTGGTACCATAGCTATAAAAGAACTGTTTATATCTTTAACCAACTTAGCATTATGATGGAATTCATTCATAAATTGGATCACATCAATGTTAATGATACTTTAGCATTTTTGGAACATGGTGACATTAAATTCGTCTGGACCAAAAGCCTTATTACCCTTACAATTTCTAACTGCTGCCAAAATTTTAGTTTTAGAAAAATCTGATTCCAAAAAATTTGAAATTTGGTCCTCCCCAATGGACTAAAAAGGGCCTAACTGCCCAGGCCTGATACGCCAAGGATTAGATAATAGATTGAGAAAATGATTTTTCACTTCAGCCCTAACATCTTGCGGATTCTCTACAACAGAACCATTAACCAAAATAGGTCATAAGACATTCTTGTTCTTTCTACTACATGCCATAATGTGAAAAAACTTCGTGTTTCTATCAACCTTACTTGCCCAATTTAGCCTTGATTTCTGGAGCTACACCCACTCCACCATTTTGCTCAGTTTCTATGCCTCACCTTTAGCTTCCCTTTTTCTAGCAGCTTGTGATGATGATAGTGCCCTTTCTTGAGCCAGTAA